GGGGGGCTCCGGGTTTTGGGTGGGGGGCGGCAGGAACTCCCCGGAAATGGGGCAATAAAAACGGTTTCAGACAAATTTGGGTGTTTATTGATGGGGGGAAGACGCCAAAACCCCAGATGGGTCCTAGGGGGTGTTTGGGGGTCCTCCCACATTAGAGCCGGAGTCCAAGAGATTTGGGAGGGTGGGGGACCTCCCCAGTGGGGTTTTGGGGTGTTTCTAAGGGTGTTTTGGGGTTCCTGCGGATATTTTGGGGTGATTCAATCCCTGATGTTGATGCAGTGAGGGGATTCCCAGAAGAATATCTGAGGGTCTTTGGGGTTTCCAAGCCCTAAAACCCCAGGCTGAGGATCCTGGGGGTGATTTTAGGGTGCTCCCTCCCCGACCTGATCCAGCTGATGTAGATCCAGTGAGGAGATTCCCAGAAGAATATTAGGGGGTTTTCAGGGGAGGTTTGGGGTTCCCCCTGGGTTGAGACTCCTGCGGGTTTTGGCGTGCCCCTGAGGGTGTTTTTGGGGTGCTGGGGAGGGTTTTGGCCCCTCCCTCACTTGATGCAATCCATGACATGGATCTGCAGTGTGTCCATGTCCGGAGCCTTGTACTGGCACTTGGGGCAGCACAGGTCGGGCCCTTCCTCAGCAAGGGGCAGGAGCCCCCCAAAACCTGCGGGGAGATGGGGGGAGGGGCAGAGTCATGCCCTGCCCCTCCCCTAGGGTGAATTTGGGGCTCCTGAGGCCACCCCTCAGTACTCACCCCTTCCTGGGACCGGTGCCGGGGGCGGCTCTGAGTGCCGGTTCCGCATCTCCTCCAGACGGGCCCTGGAGAAAAAAATGGGGGATTTAGGGGAGTTCTGGCTGTTTTGGGGAGGTCAGAGAGGCCTTGGGGGATTTTGGAGGGGGTCTGGGGGAGTTGGGGGATTTTGTGGGAGTTCGGGAGGAGTTATGGGGGACCTGGGGGATATCAGGGACAAGGGAGAGGGGAAAAGGGAGGTGCCTGGGGCGGTTTTGGGGGTGTTTTGGATGATCTGAGGTAGGTTTATCGTGTGGGGCTTTTGTTGTGGTCTCAGGGTGTTTTGGGAGAGGTTTTGGTTGTTTTGCAGGCATTCAGGTTGTTTGGTGTTAAGTTGAGGTCTTTTGGTGTGTTTTAGCCAGTGTTTTTGGGATGTTTCAGGGCATTTGAGGGGTTTTTTGAGGTGTTTTGGGTGGTCTGGGAGTCTTCCGGGGTGTTTTTGGGGGTTCACTGCCGGTACCGGGCCCCATCCCCGCCAAGGCGCAGCCGCAGCTGGTTCAGCTCCTCCTGCAGTGCCTCCCTCTGCCCATGCAGCTGCTCCCGCGCCGCGCGCTCCGCCTCAAAATCCGCCCTATAGATGTCGGCCTGAAGACGTTGGGGGGTCAGGACAGCCCCCAAATCCAACCAAGGAGCCCCCAAAATCCCCACAGACCTCCCCTGGCCCTGACCATGGAAATGTCAGCCTGGATTTTAGGGGGGTTGAGGGTGGGGTCAGGACCCCTCCAGGATCCCCTGAATTCTCCAAATCCCACTGGACCCCCCCAAACCTCCCCCTGCTCTGTCTCAAAATCCACCCTTGGGGTGGGAGGGGTCTGGGGGGCTCAGGTGGGGTCAGAACCTGCTCAGGAGGTCCCTGAACTCCCTTGGGACCCCCTCAAACCTCTCTAGGAGTCCCCAAATCCCCCTTGATCCTCCCAGATCCACTTTGGGGACACTGACCTGGGTTTAGGGGAGTCAGGGGACTTGGGACACCCCCAGACCCCCCTAATATCCCCCAGTGCCCCCCAGCCCCACCTGGGCCTGCAGCACCGGGATGGTCTCCAAGGCCGCCCGCTGGCGCTCGGCCTCGGCTTTGAGGTGATCGATCAGGTCCTGCTTGAGGGCCAGTGCGGCCTCGGCCGCCCGGAGCTGCTCCTGCGTCACCTTGGGGGAAAAATGTCACCTGTGTCACCTGAGATATCACCTGTGACACCCCCCCAGTCCCCCCCACTGCACCCCCATCATGGCCTCAGCCGCCCAGAGCTGCTCCTGTGTCAGCTGGGGGTAACAATGACACCTGGGGGGGGTCACCTGGAGGACAGCTCTGTCACCCCCAGGTCCCCCAATGCAGCCTCAGCTGCCCAGAGCTGCTCCTAGGCCTTGAAGGGTGTCACCTGTGCCACCTGGGGGTCACCTGTGTCACCCCTGGCTCCCCCACTGCACACCCTGCGCAGCCTTGGCCACTGCTCCTGTGTCACCTGGGGAGCGGCACTGTCACTTGAGGAGTCACCTGAGGGCTCCTGAATCACCAAAGGGGCCACAGGGAAATTCCAGGTGTCCCGAAGGGGCTGGAATGGGGCCAGGATGCCACTGCCGGGTCCCCAGGGGAATGAAATAAGGGACAAGGGGCCACCCTGGGCTCCCCAAGGGTTGGGACATGACCCTCCATGTCCCCGGTGTCCCCCGGTGTCCTCTGTCTCTCACCTGGCTCCGTTTGTCCCCCTCCAGGCTGGCCTTGATGTGGGCGTCATACTCCTGGAACAGGTGATGGTATGCGGCCTGCAGCTGCACCAGCTTCCGCCTGGGATGGGAGACATGGGGACAGCGAGGGAACATTGAGAACATCACTGGGGACATTAGGGACAGCGAGAGGACACTGAGGACATCATCAGGGACAATTAGCATGCAGCTGTACCAGCTTCAGCCTTGGGGACACTGGGAGTGCCACCGCCTCCCCTGTGTCCCCTTATTGGGACAGGTAGCCTTGAGCTCCACCAGCTTCCACCTGGGACACTGGGGATAGTGAGGGGACATGGAACATCAGTGGGTGTCCCCAAGTGCCACACCTGCCCTTGTCCCCACCGTCACTCACTCCTCCCTGGTGTCCCCGTTGTCACTCACTTCTCCTCGGTGGCCCCACGCCGCTCCACCCTCAGGGCAGTTTCCAGGTTGGTCACCTGGAGCCGAAGCTGATCTAGCTGCACCTGGTGGCCCTGGGTCACCTCTTCCAGCTGCTGGCACCGCTCGGCATCACTGCGGGCCCTGGGATACCAGTGACACCCCATTGTCACCCTGTGTCACCCCCTGTCACCTCCTTCAGCTGCTGGCAGCACTTGTCATCCCCCATGAGCCTTGTGACACCCCAGGAAGACCCCACTGCCACCCTGTGTCACCCCACTGTTACCCTGTGCCAAACAGTGTCACCTCCCCAAACTGGTGGCACTACCCAGCATCCCCTTGGACTCTGTGTGTCACCTCCTTGAGCTGGTGGCACCACCCAGCATCCATTGAGCTCTGTGACACCCCAGTGTCACACAATGTCACCTCCATAGGTGTCACTTCCCCACTTGCACTGCAGGTGCTCCCACTCCACCCAGCTCTGCTGTGGTGTCCCCTCCCCTTGGGGACAATCCCTGACCCCCAGCATTCCCTGTGTCACCCCCAGCTGTCCCTGGGTATCTCCATGTCCCCCCAAGTGTCCCCACCTGCGCTCCAGGTGCTCCCGCTCTGCCCGGCTACGCTCCAGGCGATTTTGGCTCTCTCGGAGCTCCCCCAGCAGCGATGTCACCTGGGCCTGCACCTGAGCCTTGTCCTGCTGGGGACCGGGACAGGGACAGTGTCACCCTTTGAGTATCCCCAGCTATCCCCAGGTGTGTCCACAGTGTCCCCAGGGCTCTCCCCATGTCCCCAAGGTGTCCCAGGTACCTCAAGCTGGCGGCGCAGGCCCTGCAGCTGCAGCTCAGCTGCGCGGGAAACATCCTGAGCCCGGAGCTCGGCCACGGCCACACGTGCCCGCAGTGTCACCAGCCTGTCACCAAGGGTCATTGGTGTCACCAAACCCTGGCCACCCGTGCCTGCAGTGTCACCAGCCTGGGGACAGTGTCTCCAGAGTGTCCCCAACACCTCCAGCTTCCCTCAGCCATGACTACCACCAGCCTGTGAGGTCCCCAAAGTTTCCCCAAGAGTCCTCTGGTGTCCTCAGTGTGTCCCCAGGTGTCCCCCCAAATGCCCCAAGCATCCCCAAAGTGTTCCTGAAGTGACGCCAAAGTGTCCACAAAGTGCACCAAGGTGTCCCAAAGTATGCCCAAGTACCCCCACAGTGTTCCAAAAGTGCCCCCGACTGTCCCCAAGTGTCCTCAAAGTGCCCCCAAGTACCCCCAGACTGCCCCCAAGTGCCCCCAATGTCCTTGACTCACTCAGCCTCAGCCTCTGCCAGGCGCTGCTTCAGCTGCTCCTCAGAACTGGGGGGACACGAGGGGGAGTCAGGGGGGTCAGAGTGGGTTGGGGACATAGAGGGATCCCCAAGGAGCTGGGGAGGGGGGCAGGGACTCACCTCGGCTCCAGG